ACTATACCTGAGACCTTAGAACTTATGTCTCAAGGTGGGTGGCGGATTTACGTTGTAGATGTCAAATGGGCTCCAGTAACCACTTAACAGCAGGTGGCCTGTGAGCTCGTCCACCCATGTAAGCAATTAAAAAATTTAAAAAATTAATATGAGGAACACAATTGGTGGAGGAGAAGGGTGATCGGGCTCACGACCCACCTGATACAAACTGATTATCGGAGCCCATAGACATAACAACGTGAAATCCGCCACTCAGCTTGAGACAAAGTCGTTTTTCTGAAAAACCATTCAGACCTCTCAATGCATGATTAAATTGCGGCAGGCGGGATGGTATCTACCCGTATAGTTACACCTCAGTTAGTTTTCATATAATTAAAGAAAAAACCATTTCAATGTAAAATGAGTACATTAATGATTTAGATAAAAATCGTACGATAAGACTGATTCAGCAGTATTTTTATGATATTCTTTTTTCTCAGAAACATTGAAGCATCAGAGAATATTCTAGTTTCGGTCCTGACGTACGGCGAGGGCTATCACAACTTTCATCATGTCTTCCCATTCGACTTTCGTGCAGCAGAGACTATGGATTTCTTCAGTCTATCCACAAAGATAATCAGAACATTCGAGAAGATTGGTTGGGCGTATGACCTCAAGCAAGCCAGTCCAGAAATGATCGAGTCGGCTCGTAACAAGCTAGGGGGTGATGGGTCTAAAGCTCACAATTAAACTTTGACCGAATTTTGTGTGATTTTCAAAATTGTATATGGCATTTTTAGATATTTCTAATTTGCGCAGAACAGACAATCCTTTGTAGCAACTTGTGACTAGGCAAACAACATAGCCTCTTAAGGCTATCAGCTTAGGTAGGAAAAGAAAGCAGACATAATAATATTTAGTGGTATCTATTTATTATTTAATAAAGCATTGAGCCGGTTCAACTTTTAAAAGTTTTTTTCTAAATCTTTTTATTTTATTTTTGTTGAAAATAATTAATATAAAAAATAATAAAATTGTTGGAGCCAAGAAGATTTTTTATATAAATGTAGGATTGGTAAGAACGGAACGTATGAAAAGAGTGTGGAACGGAGCGTTAAGATGTGAGTGAGAGAAAACGGAAAGAAAGAGAGAAGAGAATGACAGACAGAAGGACAGAGAATTGGAAGATGGCGAAGACGGTTGAAAAATGAGTAAGACGTAATAAAATTAGTGTTAATTATTAATTACTATTATAATAGAAGGTTTTGGAATAGTATAACTTTTATTTTTTGCGCTGCGATCCCTATTCTACATAAATTTTCGAATATCCGACTTCCTGTAGTAACGGTAGAAGCACAAAGAAGTATAGACATTCAGTACAAATCCTACATCAATTCTGTATCCAGGGACGAATTGTAATCATTGTTGTCAGCGTCATCATTTTAAAAACCTGTAGTTCCTGTAGTTCACCTTCAATAGACTCTGGACTGAAACTGGTCAATCAAAAGGCAGGAGATATTTTAACCTTCAGCCAATTATTTCATTAAAGCCATGGTTTTTCCGTGTCAAATGCAATAAGCTAGTATGTTCTTCTATCATAAGAATGCGTTTGGGTCATGTTTGCACTCCTGTTCATCTTAATAGATTAGGCATTGTATCTACTGACATATGTGAATGTGAATCAGATAAATGTGATCTAGATCACATTTTCTTTTCATGTCCTCTATACGACCGCTCCTCATTCCTGAATGATCTAATATCTCTTAATGTTCCTTTTCCTANAGATAAATGTGATCTAGATCACATTTTCTTTTCATGTCCTCTATACGACCGCTCCTCATTCCTGAATGATCTAATATCTCTTAATGTTCCTTTTCCTACCTGTATATCCTGTATAATTATGTATCCATGTATATTTTATAAAATATTGTCATCTTTCATCCTTCAGAACCATATTAAAGTTTAAATATTTGATTTGTAAGTGTATATGTATATGTATATTTATGAATTTTTTATTGTCCGTTTCAAACTTCTTCCCACTTATCTGATCGTTTCTCATGTTTCATATCCTATTTTAACTTGGTTTCCCAATCTTTTAATTTACGTCATTGGCAAAAAGTAAACGCTATTGCCAAAAGAAGAAAAAAAGAAAAAAAGAAAAAAAAAAAAGCAATGCCTAACAGTAACGAATCGGTACTGCGGCGCTGATCTTCCGCCGGCACCTGCGGAGTGACGCGCACACCAGCATCAGACCGACCAATCGTTATGTCAAGCACATACTGTTTGAATTTAGAAAATTATTGTTTTTTTTTATTGCTTAGATGGGTGGACGAGCTCACAGCCCACCTGGTGTTAAGTGGTTACTGGAGCCCATAGACATCTACAACGTAAATGCGCCACCCATCTTGAGATATAAGTTCTAAGGTCTCAATTATAGTTACAACGGCTGCCCCACCCTTCAAACCGAAACGCATTACTGCTTCACGGCAGAAAATAGGCAGGGTGGTGGTACCTACCCGTGCGGACTCACAAGAGGTCCTACCACCAGTAATTACGCAAATTATAATTTTGCGGGTTTCATTTTTATTACACGATGTTATTCCTTCACCGTGGAAATCAATCGTGAACATTTGTTGAGTACATATTTCATTAGAAAAAATGGTACCCGTCTGCGGGATTCGAACACCGGTGCATCGCTCAACACGAATGCACCGGACGTCTTATCCGTTAGGCCACGACGATTTCAAAATATCCTCTGACTTAAATAACCACTTATTACTGGAGCCCATAGACATCTGTTAACGCCTACGAAATTTTACTGAGCAATATTGAAATTTTATTTATGTTTACCTACACCACACACTTCAATTAATGGCCGTGCCAAGCTCACTTGTTCGCAACGTATTAAATTAATAAAAACCTGTATAAAGGAAACACAAGCACAAAATCGATTGTGGAAGTTTTATTGAAGAAACCCAAGCATCACAGCGTGACAGGACCTTCAAAATTCTTCGGAAAAGAATATTTTTTCATACGGACGGTCAAGTCATACAATCGGTCAGAAACTTGTTCGCCGAAACCAGCTGCCGTCCGCAACTGTATCCACGGGATCTTGAAGCTCAAGCCATTGCAGCCACCGCCGGTCATCGATCAGCAATCAGCATCGAGCCGCAGCCCAGGCCAATACAGCTAAGTGCCCTTCCCATACTTTCCAGTCTATATAATCACACCAACCTAAACTCCAATAACATTTTTCCTATTTACCCAAATCGATTAGTCTGTACTTGTGCTAATTGTCTTTATACAGTGTTTTTTATCTTTTCAATATTTCAATTCATTTTAGTTTTTTCCATAGTGAGTCTTACCCACATCATAAAAATATTCAAACCAAAAAAAGAGTCTTTCTTAATTTTCGTTATTGTTTTCTGCATTAAGTAATTATATTTATATTGCTAACAAAGGAAGACAAGCGGACGGCCACCCAACAATAAGGGGTTACTGTCGCTAGTTACAAATTTTGCTAGATAGTTCTTTAAATAACTGAATACCCACTGTGCCTAATTATTATTATTTTTATCCCTTCTTGCATTGTTGTTTTTGCAATCAATTCACACAATTTAGCTGAACATTCCAGACAAACGGTGCGCCTTCGGACGTTACCTACTGGCTGCGATAAACAAGTTCAGCCCCGCTGTGTCCCAGGGTTCCGGGTGAGAGTGCAGCAGGGCCGGACTCCAGTGCAGGTCACGTCTAGTCGAGGAGCGTGAGATAACTTTAATATTTTTAATTCATTTATATAACTAAACATAACTAAACAGTTTTATTCTATTTTTGCATAGTTTCATTATCCGTAGTACTAGACTTTGCGTATGTTATCGCTTCTTTTTACAAGTTACTTAATTTTATTAAATTAATTTACAAACTTTTTATGAGAAAACTTATAATTTTTATTTATCATGGGAGGTGAAACTAGTGCAGTCTTTTGCACTCAAGATTTGCTGGATCTTTTTGTTAAACGTAGCTCCATAAAGGGGCAAATAACTAAATTTCGGAATTATTTAACTCAAACAAGCTCAAAAGAAACACTAACTTCTCTTAAACTTGCTGAATTGACACTTAAGCTTAGCATATTTTTTAGTCACTGTCAAATCGATTTGACGACTTGCAGGCTCAGATAGAGGTTTTGAATTGTAGTGATTTGACAAACGAGGTTGATGAGCGAGATGACAATGAGCAGTTATTTATGTAATGTAAACATGACGAAAGTAATTACAAAGATCTTAACTCTAGTCAGTCATCAGCTCAGTGTAATATCGATCATCATGATGTTTTAGGATTTAAATTGCCCCAAATACAGATTGCTAAGTTTGACGGATCATATTTCCGTTGGCTTGAGTTCCGTGACACGTTTTTGAGTTTAATTCATAACAATGAGCGAATTGCTCCAATTCATAAGTTTCATTCTTTAATTTCATACTTAACGGGTGATTCAGCACGCATTATTACTAACTTCGAAGTTTCTAGTTCCAATTATAAAAATGCTTGGCAATTATTATGCAGTCGTTATGATAATAAGCGTCAATTGATAAATCATCATTTAAATTCATTATTAAATGTTCAACAGACAACTCGTGAGTCTGATAGATCTTTAAGATTTATGGTAGATCACATCACTAAAAATTTAAGGGCATTGTCTAGCCTAGGTCAGCCTACCGACAAATGGGATGTCCTCATAATTCACATAATGTGCTCAAAGCTGGACAGCCACACTCTTTTGAAATGGGAGGAGTATCGTGGCGCCTTGGATGGAATTTGGAACAATTTTAATTTTTTTTAATTAATCGTGCTGACGTTCTTGAGTCTATAAATCGTAATCCTTATAAATCGATACATTCTAAGTTTACTACTTCTAATACTAATAATAAGCAAGATAAGCCATATACAAAATATGTTGCTTGCACTAGCAATAAAACCACTGCTCCTGAAAATCTTATATCGTGTGTAGTGTGTCAGCAAGGTCATCGAATCTACAACTGCCCTACCTTCATTAGTAAGAGCGTAGAAGAGCGTATAGCCGAAGTACACAAATTAAAACTATGCACTAATTGTTTGAGGCCAGGTCACAATGTACAAGCTTGTCGTCTCGGTCCGTGTCTTAAGTGCAAAGGAAGACACAATACTCTCATACATAAACCAGTAGATACTGTACCTAACAATATATTTACTTCCAGTGCCTTGTCCGTGCCAGACAGCACTGACGATACTATTGTAAATTTTTCTAAACAAAATACAAATCAAGTTTTGTTATCTACAGCCTTAATCGAGGTGGCTAATCCACGGACGAACCAGACAGAAAAGGTTCGCGCCCTATTAGATTGTGGAAGCCAGTCTTCATTCATAACGGAGACACTTAAACAGAAGCTGTGTTTACCGTCAAACTCAAACTGCCTTGTCAACATTATGGGCATAGGCCATCATCATACCGGTAAGATCACAGAGACTTGTGTCCCGCAATTGAGGTCATTAGTCAACCAGTTCAACGTCACATCAGGCTTTTTAGTATTACCACAAATAACAGGTCACATACCTAAATTACCTATAGACACTGCACAAATACAAATACCTAATGGCAACCAATTAGCAGATCCAAACTATCACCAACCAGCGCCGATTGAAATACTCATCGGTGCCGATCTTTTCTGGGAGATTCTTGGCCGCGAGACTCACTTTCTCGGTCCTAATAATCCAAAGTTAAGAAGCTCTCAGTTTGGTTGGATTATTTCGGGTCCTATGACGACAATCACTACATCACACAAAAACAAAACAGTACAATGTAACCATTCCATAATATCAAACAGACTTAATGATGACTATATTAAAATTCACAATGACCTTACTAAATTCTGGGAACTTGAAGAAGTTCCACTAAGATCCAAATTGAATGAAAGTGAGAAGGCATATGAACCTCATTTTCTATCCTACACTTTCCGCTTAGAGTCCGGTAGATTCTCAGTGAGTTAACCTCTAAAGGAATCACCCGACTGTCTTGGACAGTCATACAACGTAGCCAAATTACGATTATTGAATTTATAAAGACGCTTTCCTCATGACATTTCGCAGATTCGTGTCACGCCGGGGCAGGCTAACTGAGGTGTTCTGTGATAACGGACGCAATTTTGTAGCAGGTTCTAAAGAAATAAAGCATTTTTTCAAAATAAACTCTAAATCTTTATCTGATTCTGCAAGTGAGGATGGAATAAAATTTGTATTTTCTCCAACTTACGCTCCTCACTTTGGCGGAATCTTTGAGGCCGGAACAAAATCCGCAAAATTTCACATTAAGCATGGGTAATTCGCACTTAACATTCGAAGAAATATCTACTCTTTTCGAACAAGTAGAGGCTATATAGAATAGCCGTCCATTATGTCCTATGTCACCCTCTCCTGATGACCTCTTTTGCCTGACTCCCGGGAGCTTTCTCATTGGCCGGGCTCTCACTGCTCTTCCTGCGCCTGTGCTTGAAGACTGCAACTACAATAATTTGCAACGCTACCCTCGATTACAGCAAATATATCAACATTTTTGGCAGCGCTGGCAGCGTGAATATATTGCTGAGCTTCAACAACGCCACAAGTGGAAGACCAATTCTTCAAAACCAAATGTAGGAGATTTGGTACTGTTGCAAGAAGATGATGTTCCTCCTCTCTGCTGGAGACTTGGACGCATATCCAGACTATTTTATGGTCCAAATGATGGAGTACCTCGAGTCGCTGACGTCAATACTTCTAGAGGCTGCGTGCGCTGCCCTTTGGTTCGTCTGTGTGCCTTGCCTACCGCAGAAGAACTAGAGGGTTGAAACCCGAAGAATCGACTTTCAAGGGGGGGAGGATGTTAACGCCTACGAAATTTTACTGAGCAATATTGAAATTTTATTTATGTTTACCTACACCACACACTTCAATTAATGGCCGTGCCAAGCTCACTTGTTCGCAACGTATTAAATTAACAAAAACCTGTATAAAGGAAATATAAGCACAAAACCGATTGTGGAAGTTTTATTGAAGAAACCCAAGCATCCAACAACATCTACAACGCAAATGCTCCACCCACCTTGAGATATAAGTTCTAAGGTCTCAGTATAGTTACAACGGCTGCCCTAACCTTCAAACCGAAACACATTACTACTTCACGGCAGAAAGAGGCAGGGCGGTGGTACCTACCCGTGCGGACTCAAGAGGTCCTACCACCAGTAATGTACTTTCCTTTTTTAAATTGTAATGCCTTACAGACTATTTTCCTTTCTCGTAAATATTTGATTTGACAGTAACAAACTTTTTTTTTTCAGTCTATGCTATGATTCTTTTCTCTGGATTAGGTATTGCTTGCGGAGTGCATAGGTTGTGGACGCATCGATCGTACAAAGTCAAAGCACCCGTGAAATTTCTATTGATGGCTTGCTTCTGCAGCAGTGGCCAGGTAACTGCCATCTAGTTTTTATCTTATTTGAACCATAATAGAGTTAGCTGAAACCTGGCTCATGAAGCTAAAACAGCTTAGAGGACAGATGGGATTCCTTAGAAATTTGGCTATAGTATTTATGTAATGGAATCTTAGGCATGTGGTGTGGGCAGAACACCAGCCAGATGGTCAGAACTGGTAAAGTAAGCGATTGGTGGTAGTCTATGCCATGCGGTCCATGCCACACATGACCGAACACTATGAAAAGTCACATGCGGTCGCGATCCTCAACAGTGCTGGGAAAGATTGGATGAAAGGCGGAGGATCTTTCATTGTGGCGGACTATAGAAGAGGCCCACATCTAACAGTGGAGAGATACAGGCTGATGATGATGATGATGATGCTTTCTCTACTATAGTCATGGGAAGGGATTGAGCACTGTGTGTAAGTTAAGTAAATGTTGTATCAAATTAATTGTAAGAATACTGGTACTGATTCTGTATAATAACTAGGAGATCAATACTATCACTCCTGGAAATACCAAGCGGTGGCACTAGAAAGACCAAAATTGTTCGGCCTATGATGCAAAAACGATCATTTGATAACTTTATAGCTAGCTAATTTGACTTTATAATGAGTTTCAGTAACTCTGATCTTAAATATCTTTTAAATAAAAGATTGCATTTATTAAAATAATTATTTATAATATTATTTATAACTTAAAAAAATAATTTTATTTTTTTAAGTTGTAAATAATGTATCATTTATTATAGTTACATCACATAAAACCTTAATAATAGAAAATTTACAATTCGTCCTGGATACAGAATTGATGCAGGATTTGTACTGAATTTCTATACTTCGTTATGCTTCTACCGTAACTAAAGGAAGTCTGATATTAGAAAGATATTTTTTTTATATGAATTATTTTCAACAAAGGTTTAGAAAAAAACTTTTAAAAGTTGAATCGTCTCTATGCTTTATTAAATAATAAATAGATACCATTAAATATTACTATGTCTGCTTTTTTTTCCTACCTAAGCTTGAACCATCCTAGCCTTGAGAGGCTATGTTGTTTGCCTAGTCACAAGTTGCAACAAAAGACTGTCTGTTCTGCGCAAGTTAGAAATATCTAAAAATATCAAATACCATTTTGAAAATCACACAAAAGTCGGTCAAAGTTTAATTGTGAGCTTTAGACCCATCACCCCCTAGCTTCCTACGAGCCGCCTCGATCATTTCTGGACTGGCTTGTTTGAGGTCATACGTCCAACCAATCTTCTCGAATGTTCTGATTATCTTTGTGGATATATTGAAGAAATCCATAGTTTCTGCTGCACGAAAGTCGAATGGGAAGACATGATGAAAGTTGTGATAGCCCTCGCCGTGCGTCAGGACCGAAACTAGAATATTCTCTGATGCTTCAATATTTCTGAGGAAAAAGAATATCATAAATATATGGCTGAATCGGTCTTCTCGTACGATTTTTATCTAAATCATTAATGTAGTTATTTTACATTGAAATGATTCAGGTTTTTTCTATAATTATATGAAAACTATCTGCGGAGTAACTAAACAGGTAGATATCATCCTGCCTGCCGCAATGCCTGCCTGGCGGTTTTCACGTGGTGATGTCTATGGGCTCCGATAATCACTTTGTATCAAGTGGGCCGTAAGTCCGATCATCCTCTCCTCCACCAATTGTATTCCTCGTATCTGAGGTTCCTGACCGCTTCCATGCGTCGCTTTCGTCCTCACGATATTCTGCCTTCTCATCCTGTCGTTGGTCACTCGAAGAGAATCGTGGACGGTGGAATCAGGAATGGTGCGAATCTGTTCAGATCAAATGCGTTGAGCTACGGACCCGCGATAGTTTTTCGCTTTGCCAATAGTTTGATCACTCATATACGCAATAAGAAAATCGTTTTATTGAAAATGTAAGGAATTAAAAAAAAAATTATTACTTAGATGTGTGGACGAGCTCAGGGCCTACCTGATGTTAAATGGTTACCGGAGCCCATAGACATCTACAGCGTAAATCCGCCAGAAATAGGCAGTGTATTTGTACCTGCCCGTGCGGACTTTCAAGACGTCTTACTACCAGTAATTACGCAAATGTTAATTTTGCGTGTTTGGTTTTTATTACACGATTTTATTCCTTAAACGCGGAAGTCAATCGGGATAATCTAGTACGTGTTTCATTTGAAAAATTGGTATCTACCGGCGGGATTCGAAAAACTATGCATCGGTACATACGATTGCGAATTTCGAACGAATACGAATTTCGGTAGGCAGCGACTTGGCTCTGCCCCTTGCATTGCTGAAGTCCATGGGCGACGGTAACCACTCACCATCAGGTGGGCCGTATGCCCGTCTGCCTACAAAGGCAATAAAAAATAAAATAAAAAAAATGCACCGGACATCTCATCTTTTATGCCACGGCGACTTCAAAACTACAAAAAATAAATATTTGGTTAAAACTAGATTTACTCACACGTTGTAAGGTTTATATCCGTACATATGAGCCAAACTGTTAACAGTCAGTTCAGAATGTAGCACGTAGAGATACCGTATGAAGCATTGCCAGGCAACAGCGCACTTCCAATCTTCCCCGACCAAGAAGATGTTCACCAATGTTGGTATTAGAAAACAGAATAGGATTTTTAATTGATTGTGGTATCTAAAAAGAAAGAAACACCTTTGTGACATTTGCGTTTATGTAGGGAAAATCTTATAAGATACTTTCCATTCGACCGGTTCTTGTGAATTGGGTGAATCGTGACAGAGGACGCCTCACTTTCCGGCTCACGCAGGTGCTCACTGGACATGGTTGCTTCGGTGAGTTCCTGCACCGAATCGGAGCCGAGCCGACGGCAGAGTGCCACCATTGTGGTTGTGACTTGGACACGGCAGAGCATACGCTCGTCGCCTGCCCCGCATGGAAGGGGTGGCGCCGTGTCCTCGTCGCAAAAATAGGAAACGACTTGTCGTTGCCGAGTGTTGTGGCATCGATGCTCGGCGACGACGAGTCGTGGAAGGCAATGCTCGACTTCTGCGAGTGCACCATCTCGCAGAAGGAGGCGGCGGGGCGCGTGAGAGACGCACAAGCCCGCCGCCGTCGAGCGGGGGCCAGGGAGGCGGACCTCGCCCAAGCCCTGGCCCTCTAAGTGTTTCGGGTCTTCCTCACATGTCGGCCTGGGGACCGGCGAAGGGGGCCTAAGAAGATGACGTGCAAGCTGCCCTGCACGCGATTTGTGCATGAGCATCCGGGTGATGGAAGGCCGGCTATCCTCAACCAACGCTGGTTCTGACCCAGCGGGGTATTCCGCAGGATAGACCATTCTAACCGGCGCCATCTAGGCGGGCTTCGGATAGCCTGCCGACCGTGAAGGCTGGTGGTCGTGGTCCCGACGACCGCCACCTCCGGCGTCCCGAGGGGGAGGGTGATAGGAGAGATGTGCTCCGCACTAAACGCTTCACGTTCCCCCCTTTGCCTTTTCATGAGCTCTGTCTCATGCGAGGTTTGGATGTTAGTTGTTGAGCGACAGGAGGTTTTAGTCGGTTCGACTCCGACATGCCCCACCCTTCAACCCCAGTGAAGGGCGGAAGTCCGGCGATTTCCTCCAGACAGAAAAAAAAGCTACTTTCCCCCTAAATAATGCACTATATTAT